ACTTTATATCTAAAAATTACCTCAACTTAGCACCAGCAAGCTTGTTAGCTAGACAGTTAGCATCAGCTAACAATATTAAATATTAAAATCAATATTTTATATTGTTAATCCAAACAATATAAAAATGTATACTGTTGATAAACAATATAAAAACAGACGTCACATAGGGCTAAATGCGTAGCATTTTAATAAAACCGTTAACGTTACGGCAGTGGGGAATATTAACGCGCATTAATTATTTTATTTAGTCTGTGTTATTTTAATGTTTCGGGGTTTTTATTTATTTAAAAGTACGATCTTATGCTTTGGAATGTAGTGAAATAAAAGTAAAAGTTACTCAAAATAAAACAACTCCAGTAAAGTACAGATACTTGGGAAAATGTACTTAAGTACAGTAACGAAGTAAAGCTACTCTACCAGGATATCAGGATAGTCAGGATAGTCTACCAGCTTTTCCTCATCACCAAAGACGCCCTGCTTATGCAACGAATCAACAAGCAACCCCTGAAGTTCGCGTTTGGACTGCGTATTACGAAAACTAACCTTATAATGTGCAGCAATTTTCATAAGATCAACTCTGTTGATTTGGAACAATTCAGCTTGCGTCGGATTCGCAATAAAATTTGTTAATTCAAACATGATTGATAAACGTCTTAGATTAAAGAGAAAAACGAAAAAGCACTACACGAGCCAAAATTCACGTCAATTGACTGTGATTCAACAAAGTTACAAAGTAACAATTCAAGTGTGAGCAGATCAAAAAGATCACACAAAGTCACACAAAATCAAGATCAATCCCGGACGAGCCCCCAAATATGTTACGGCCCATAACCATTTTAAGGCTTGTTAATTCAAACAATTAAATAAAGGACACAGGCCGAACATATTAAAAGAATCACAACACCTGATGTGAATTTCAGGATGCCTCTATTTAATTCATTTACTGAGTTCAACTCAAACATTCAGAAAATAATGCGCAACAATTCACAAAGAATATTTATGAACATAATCTAATGGATAATAACAAAGAAAGAATGATCAGCTCACGGGTAGGAAAGCTAAGAAAACAGACTCCTAACTACACCTGTTCTCGGGAATAAAGTTCTTACCTGACTCCCGAAATAAAAATAAGAACGGGTGAGTCTTCCGGACCCCTGCTTCCCTCGCTCAGTTCTTACTAAATAAACAAAACATGAACTAATAAATAAATACACTACCCGCTACTGATAAATAAGAAAGTATATCACATATCAAAACACATATTTACAAGTTAAACCTAAGCGTAAAGAAAAACAAAAATATAGCCTCAAAGAGGCGATGAGAGAGGCGCTTGCGAGAACAATGGGAAGCGGAGCAACAGAGAGAGCGCCATTGTCGCCTCGCAGCCTATTTATCCGGAATCCTTGATGACGTCACGCGACTCTCACGGAATGGGAATCCCCCACAACGCCACCTATGGGCTTAGAATATAAGTGTCACACAGATACACGTAACACCTGTAAAGCATTTTATTAATCATATTTTATATTTATAATTTACTAATAAATTAAAATCTAAAGTTGTATCTGTTAATTTTATTTATTGTACCTGAGCTAACATGAACTAACAATGAACAGTTGTTTTTAAATGAACGTTAACAAAGATTAATAAGCACTCATTTAGTTTATGTATTAATTATTGTTTTCTAATGGGACCTTAAAGTGTTACTTGTTAATTAAATCCACATTTAGAAATATAAATTATGTAACAAACTTATATTACATAACAAAAAGCAATTTATAGAAAAACTGCTGTTTATAGATATTTTCCTAGTCTCATTCAATTATATATTAATATATATTTATATAATAATTTTTTTTTCAGAATGTTTTTCCAGAAAATTCAAAATTCAGAAATGTAGAAATCTATTTTCTAATTGCTTTTTTTTTCTTCCAGCAGTCAATTTCACTTGAATTTACATCACAATACGTTTCATTGCAACTTTGACTGATGTAGTTGGCTAATGTAATCAAATGAAACATCATTGTAAAGTGTTGCCAAAAATTCACAGGCTTGTTTGTTTATTTATTCTATCAATTTTATTCATTATATATTTACATCACAGTAAATATAGTTCATTTTAAACATATTTGTCAAAAGAGTTCATCTTAAATAAGGAAAATATCACCTGGTGCATTTTAAAGGTTTAATATATATTGCGATGAACTGTGATTATTGTCATTTTGGACTATATTTTGAGTTTTGTAAGTGCTAAAATGCCTCTATTGGAGACTTGTTGTATAACACTAGTTTTGACACTCATTGACCCATACTAGCAGTTTGCATGTGTGTTTCTCTCTCACGTCAGTGTTACGGGACACAACAGATTGCTCTCTCGAAAGCAGTTTAGCGCAGACACAGATGTGTGGGAAGAGCGAGAGCTCACTCCCTCTGAGGAGGGAGCTATTTTCTATTATTTATTTATGCTATCAGTATGCAATCAGTATTTACACAACATTTGATTATTACATAAAAAATAACATTTTCTGGCCTTCTAATTTTTAATTGCATTTATTTATTCATTCATTCTTTCATTCTATCAGTTTTGTTAATTATATATTTGCATAACATTTAATCATTGCATCAAATAAAATTGATATCTTTTCAAATTGAAGCAATACTAACAATTTGTGCACATTTCAACATTGTGCACAACATTATTTTGCTATTCTAAAAAATAAGTAAAGTAATTCATTCAATGTCGTTGTTGTATGAATGGATGGCAGTTAAGTAAGTTTGTAATTGTTGAAGTCCAGACTCAAGCTCACAGCTGATTGGTCTGTTGGTCTGAATCCTGAAAACAGACTCAAGCTGTTGTGGTTTCAGTCCTTCATTCAAACTAATATGTCTGTCGCTGAATCAGTGCTTTAACATGACTGTATTTGTTGACTAACTACTAACTACTGCTTACAGTTGAAATCAAGTGAACAGTGAGTCACTCTCGCTAGCTGGGCTTTTTACGGTAAAGCTTTTAAGACGGATCAGCCTCTCCTCAGAGTATTTACTGACTCACCAAACCTCCCGCTCCTGTAAACTTATGACTCCCCCGACTAATCAAATACACATTTACTAATCAATGTACTCTCATACAGTATATGTGCTCTTAACCCTTCACCTGCCCGTCCACTCCTGTTTTCCCATAGTCCTGCTGGTTTGGAGCTCAGTTCTCGTTAATGCACTCTAATGATTGAATGAGATTGCGTAACGGCGGCGTGTCACATGACCGTGTGAATATAAGCAGCAGTCAGCATCTCATAATGGCGTGTTTATACTGGATTAATGCTAATTACTTACACCCATTGATACCGGAGTCCAAAGAAAATCAGTCAAACCAGTTCAAGATGGGCAGGTCCTGAGGAAAACCCGTCTGTAGAGTGGCACTGTGTCATTTCTGTGCCACTAGCAGCACCAAATGGAATTAAACACCACTCCTTAACAAGCCATATTTTTTTAGATTTATTTTTTAAAAGGTTATTATTATTATTATTATTATTATTATTATATTGCATTTTATTATTATATTATATCATTACATTATATTATATTAATTTATAATACTTCTATTTATTTATTTTAATTTAGGGATTTGTTCATCAACTAGTGATCTGTTATATATTATATTTTCATATTCATATTTTAAAAAATATAATACTCTGGATTAGGGGTTTGTTCAACAACTTTATATTATATTACATTTTTTAATTTTATTTATTTTTGGAAGTTTAATACTTGGGTATAGGAGTTTGTTGAACAATTCTAATCTATATTATAAATTCATATATTTTAATTAATTCATTTTTTTATGCTTACGGTTAGAGTTTTATTAATATTTTTTAATTATTTTTTATTTTATAATAATTTTTATTTAAAATAAATTATAAATTTTTTATACAATTTTATTCATTTGTTATGTTTACCTAAGGGACACCTCTATTCTATTCTATTCTATTCTATTCTATATTAATTTGATCTAATACAGAAGTATTAAAGCATTATATTGCATTTTATTAATGTTATTATATTCTAGTTACATTATATTAATATTACATGTTTTTATATTTACTTTTAATTATTGAATTATTTGATTAATTATTTTATTACTTTTTTATTTAAAAGTAATTATAATTTATTTATTTATTTTCTGGATGTTTATTATTACCTAAGGGATGGGGGCTTGTTCAACAACTCATATATTATATTATATTATATTATATTATATTATATTATATTAATTTGATCTAATTTAAAAGTAATAAACTTTACTTTCTTGATCTGGCACTGTAAATGTTTTCTGTTTTTACCATCGGACTGAAGATCATTGCTTTCTCATTCTTTCTCTCCACTGATTCTTTGTATCTCCCAGATCAGTTTTTTCCTTTCTAAAAAAAAAAACATTTTCCCTGGAGTGCCCTTGTCTTTATTTCCATATGAAAGGCTCTTTAGATTGAGAGGACATACAGTCACGCATCCGTCCCGCTTGGATTTAAATGTTGCCGGGGGACGCTGGTTTTATCTCTTTTTTTGGCTCGTCTCCCTGTGACCGTCTGTCCTTCACATCTGAGCAGTTCACCCGGAAATAATGCTGGCATTATTTACCTACCGTCATGTTTCCAAACCCAAATGACTTTTCAAAAGGGAGAATTGTGAAGAATGTCCACGCTGCCCTTTTCCTTCAAGCTCACAAATGAAAAAAGTGCCATTAAAAGTAGTGTGAATGTGAATTTTCTGAAGTCGTATGATGCTTTTTGTGACTGATAATCTGTAATACATAGAGGCTGATTTCTCTCTCGGTCTGTCTGTCTTGCTCCAGATGGTGACGCGCGGCTGTGAGACCACAGAGATGACCTTGCGCAGGAACGGTCTCGGTCAGCTCGGCTTCCACGTTAACTTCGAGGGCATCGTGGCTGACGTGGAGCCGTTCGGATACGCCTGGAAGGCCGGTTTGCGGCAGGGCAGCCGGCTGGTGGAGATCTGTAAGGTGGCGGTGGCCACGCTGACCCACGAGCAGATGATCGACCTGCTGCGCACCTCTATCTCCGTCAAGGTGGTCATTATCCAGCCGTATGAGGACGGAGCTCCCAGAAGGTATCAGTGATCTGTTCAACAACTTGGTCATTTTAAAAGTCACTTTAAAAAAATCATTAAAATGGTTATGTAACAGATCTTACTTGGAAATGATATTATCTTAGATTAAAATCATATATATTTTTTAATTTTGCGTTTATTTTTAGAAGTTTAATACTTAGGGTTAGGGGTTTATCCAACAACTCTAGTTGTTATTATATGATATTATATTATAAAAAATGTTTATATGTATTTAATATATGATATTATTTTTTGTATTTATTTTTAGTTTTACACTTAGTTTTACACTAGGACTACAGGTTTGTTTAACAACTCTAATTATATATTATATTATATTATATTATATAAATTTTTAATGTGTATTTAATATATGATATTAATTTTTTTTATTTATTTTTAGAAGCTTAATACTTAGGACTATGGGTTTGTTTAACAACTTTAATTATATATTATATTTAGTGCTGTCAATCGATTAAAAAAATTAACTAATTAACCGCACATTTTTCTGAAATTAATTGCGATTAATCGTGTTTGTTTAACAACTTTAATTATTTGTTTTATTTTATTTTGTTTTATTTTGTTTTGTTTTGAAATATGAGCTATGATTGAAGATATTCAATATTAACTTGAATATATGAAATGAATATATGAGTTGAATAAACGAATATATGAATATGAAATGCATTACTTTGTCTTAAAGGGGTCT